TACTATCGTTGATTTATATAAACAGCATAACAAAACATCACGCCTATTTTCAACACAAATCAAAATTTTAATGCTACTTACATATTTTGAGGCGAATTTTTGCCTTCAAACTGTATCGAATTTGCATGCAAGTTATCCGAATTATGGGAACATGGAAGCCGCGAGCGTGCAATCAATTCGTGCTGTATGCCTATAAGCCTTTCAATCGAAATTCAGTAAAAGGTAAAGAAAAGTGATCATTTCTTTATTCTCTATTTTTAGCGATTGACGAAACGTCACACTCCTCGACAAAACGTCATTTCCTAAGTTGTGGGTTTCTATTTGAGTTTTATGTAACTAATTTTATGAATTCATAATTTAACTGCTTGCAAAAGATGCGTGATCACCTAACGTAGTCTGGTCTACCATTATAAAAGTAGGACACATTTAAATTGAATATCATACTCGATCTATTGTGTGTATTGAAATATGTATTGTTTTTTTGTTACACGTGTTCGACTAAAGTATACGTTGTACAAGTATGTATTGTCTCAAGTAGGATTAGAATCCCTTCAGACATGTTATGAGTACATTTATAATGTACGTAAAATAATGAGTGGCTCATAATATACTGAAATAACAATTTTGAGTACCCTCACGAAGGAAAATTTTGATACAAACATTCTTAAGGTACGACTGCTAAAAAACAAAATACTTGAGAAATATTCAAGTGGTTTAATAAGGCTTATATGTAACGAAAATAAAATCTAAAGAACACTAGAGCTGTACAGGATTATTTATCAAAAACAACGATATCAAACGTTTTGAAAACGCTTTTAAAATGTATGAAGGTATGAAGGTAGTTACTTATTACCTATATAAAGTTTTATATTACGAACATACCTACAGATTTAATATATAGAATATATAGATTGAATTAGATGGCAACTGTTAAAGGTCCTAAACAAAATTACTTGTTTAGTTATAAATATCATCTGCCGGTAATGTCATAATTATCATTATTACGAATGGTTCCATTATCTATAATAGTATTTAAGAAACCAAAATATCCATTTTTATCAACCTAAATAAAATTTTAAGGAACCTATCTCCACTAATGTAGATGATATTCAACGACATGTTCATTGTCACCAACCTAACTTAACCAGCTTAGGTGGTCACTCTAAGTAGCTCTTAGTTAAATGATAGTTTAGGGGTGACTGGTGAAAACATATCAGAAACTGTCAACAATTATCGACTATAATTTTAAGGTTACTCTCAGTCTTTTATCAAATCCATTTTTAAATCCCGACTGAGTAACAATAGAACGGCCAATGAAACATTTCACCAATCAAAAAAAGAATTATCGAAATCGATTCACAATTAGCGAAGTAATCGCCTAACAACCATGCAGTCTAATGAGAACCTCTTCCTTTTTTGTTGCCGATGGAAATACGAATTTTTCGAGATATAAGATCCGTACATTCTATTTTTCGACAGTCGGAAAAAGTGAAATACCTCTCTGATTTTTCCACTCATTTGTTCCTCAATAAGCCGATTAAGTGTAATTTCAGTTAGGGAAATATTTTTCTTCAATCATTATTAGCTTGATAAGCCTTCCATATTACCCAATTAATATTAATTGGCCATCGATAATTAAAAGCCGATCGTCCTTGCTAAAGAAGATTTGAGTATGGAAAATTTTGTTTTTATAATAATCGCTTGTAGGCGACGGCAGTCTTTGAACTCAATTTTGCTTTTATACATATACATACATCAACATCCTGAGCAACCCCTCTTGTCACACGAAGAAGGTTTGAGCATTAATCGCCACGCTTGCATTACGTGGTGTGCTCTCTATAAGATTTCAAACTTATAATTAGAATGGTTGGTGGTTGGTTTTAAATAGTCTTATAAAAATTTGCTTTTACATAATAATATGTAAAATTTTATTGCCCAAAAAGGTAGGCAGACAGGAACAATGCGCATGTGTAGAATTACATCCATTTTCCATCAGTTAAGCTGTAGGTTGAGCCTCTACCATATACCGGGCACAGTATCAGACTCTGTTTCTGTTACCCGACTTAACAATGGAATCTTTATAGAGAGCATTGGAATTTAAATATGAGACAAAGACAAAGACAATGATTATTTATTTGCAAAAACACGTGTGAAATAATAATACATCATAGAATGCACATTAAAAGTTGTACAGATGAGCAGTGAGCATAGTATCAACATGTTTGACCATTTCTGGTGTACAAATGTGAAATATAATATTAAATCCAATAATAACAGTAATTAAACTTTTAAATTGTAACATTCCTATAAGAGACTCATACCTCCTGATCAGGACAATCAAATAAAAATTACAAAGACGTGTCATTTACAAAGTCATGAACACTATAATAGCATTTATTAACTAGTAGTTTTTTCAACGCTTGTTTGAATAAGTTTAAATTTAATTTAATAATGAACATGATGATATTTTCCTTATCTTACTCTTTGCAGTGTATTAAAAGTCAAAAGTAGGATTACAAAATTCGACGAGACGGAGACGGAGGTACGGTCCTGGTACCTCCGTCTGGTCGAATTTTGTAGGCGCATACTTCTCTAGATACCACACACACGGCACTTAGTGTATGGAGCCTGGAACGGGGAAATAGTATGAATGCCAGTGCAACGGGAAGCTTGAAATAATTATGCAGACAATCCGATCCGTCGAATTTCTCCAATGGAATACCAACTTTATTGGTTGGTAAATAAAGTCGACAGTCAATTAACGATGACGCCCTGATGTATGTCGAGAGTTCGTTACTCTGGCACTCAGGGTATGACACGTAGCAGCGATCGCTAAATAATATTATATGAACGTAGGAGCAGTTGCAAACTATTTGCTATTTAACAATCAAACAGTAAGAGTTAAACAAATTAGTTTTAAAGATTTATTATATATACTTATTAATTATTAAATAGTTATATCTAATTGCACACCAGCGAGATCGATCTTTATCTTTTAATCTTTATCTAATTTCGTCAAACTGGTGAAATTCGAATTTTATTAATTTTTTTGAGATATTTTCTTGGCTCAATTATCTAACTTAGCGTAGGGAGCGAACCGATCGAACCAAAGTTTGAAACCATTACTAGAAGTATCCCAAAGCAATCATAATAATAATACTATTAACACCACATTCATACACATATAAAATGACATATAAAACTAGGAAACATATTATCACCTAACACTACAAATCCCTCCACACATAAAACTAAAATCCTTTAAATTGCAAACCAGAAAATAAATGCATTTAAAAACAACCAAAAATAACACTTTCATCCGCCATGACACATATAAATCCGTGGCACATAAAATAAACCATAACCATTTTAAATTTAATACTATTTTCGAATGTCGACCGAAATCTAATACAGCGACATAGTTTGTTTGTAAACAGATAGTACTAGGGAACGTACTACGAGCTTAATTCAGCGTCCTCCAACAACTAACAGATTCGCTTTCATTTCTCGGAAATAGAGCTCTCCCCGATATTCATGTAAACAGGTAGCGTATACATTGCATTGTCGAGAGATCCAATATGCATGACGGATAGGTAACCAATCTATCGCTTCTTCTGACGTGACGTTGACGTCACTCTGGAGGCTGATCGTGTGGCGATCCGACAGGTGTTAATTGAAAACTTCAACAGGTTTCATTTTTCGAAGATTGGAATGAACTCTTATCTCATTTTGAAGTATTGATTATTTTAGTTTGGATACCATGAGGTTTGAACACATCTGAAATAATATTCATAAACTTCTGTTTAAATATTTTTTTTTTACAAAAAATCATCGATATAAATATTATGAAAATCGTTAGATAAATGCAGTGTGTAGTCACCATATGTAAAACTTCCATTCATAAATTGCTAGTGACGTATCTGTGTGTGAGCGTATGTAGTGGTGTTCCATGAATGAAGCTCGTGTGTGGGTGTTTGTATCAGAAATTCTAGATTTAACCCATTCGCTTTGAGAGAACTGCGAGAATAGTGTAGTTATTTCACTCGGCGCCCGTCAATGAAATATATTCCTGGAATTGCAGCACAACATAGTACGGAGTGAAGTAGAAACTTTGAAACTTCCACACGTGCTGTTATACCAACTAAATGTAATACGTTGCTAGTAAACTATTATTTAATTAAAGTGTTAGAATAATTAGGGAAATAATGTCGGTGTCGGAAATACAAAGTATCTAATCGTGATTTCTTCTACATGACTTTTAACATGTCTGTCGTCAATCCATTGTGTCATGTGAATCATGTTCGGTGTTGTAGTGTTGTCACATGCATGTACAGTGTCTGTCACGTCGTATCACCTGATTAGTACACACTTCTTCGAATTTCTGTCATACTTCAGAACCCACGCTGTCTGTGTTGTAAATTCATTTATGTTTTCATACATTGGCTCGCGATCCTATAATAACGTGCAGTTTTCTCGCTATGTTGCAGGAAAATTTCACGGTACAAAATGTAGTATTTCTAAATGGTCTAAATTCCACAGGAAAAAATTAATACGCGTACCTAAAACATAAAATAAAATTGTAATCATTAAGTCATAACTTAAATAAAATATACGTCGCGCAAAATTAACAAGGTGGTAACGTATATTTTTATTATGTTTAATCGTTTTGTTTTTCTAAATTAAAACACCTTCATTTTAATAAAAGTCGACCTAAATTCCTCATTTCCATACCAGTTTGTGGGTATCGCTGAACATCAAAATTGATTAGGGACCCTGTCGTGGCCATCGAAGCTAATTGGCAAGCGGTGTAAGGTTCGATGCTGAGTAGGTACTCGTAGCACCAACCGTTCAAAATTATGAGCCACGCATCCTTTCGGTTATCAAAATTTCAAACCACAAACTCTGCGGCAGAAATACAAAACCAATCAGGATAGGGACGACCAAACAAATCGGGAAGTTAGTTATGTAAAAAATAAAATAAACAAGTAGTTTTGACGCAGTGGTACCAGACCATGTGGGCCGGGAGGCCGGAGGCAAGCTGACACGATATGCGACGACGGAGGAAGACGAGACCACACTCAGGGAGCTACTACTTAGGTACGTGACCATAGCGACAATACCGGATAGCTTTCCGCCTTTAATACTGGCTTCATTTGCATACGATCATAAGGATCTCTCTATGTGTCGATGTGTCTTCTACATTTTGTTTCACCTTGGCTTAGCATCCTATCTCGTATAACAGATATGACGATGCGTTGACGAGTCGACTCGCGGTGGCTGAATCATTCACAGTTCCTATCATAACATCGGACCATGGCACCGTGGTTAGCATCTATGGCCACGACCTTGTTTGTCTCTCGCTACCCGGAACACATGCGTGCTTAGCACTTGCCTCAGACATTAACCTTGGGATAGGACGGGGTTATGCTTGCATGGGTGTGGTTGTACCGTTTCAATGTAGTGTTTCAATCAAGTGTTTTCATAGAAATTAGAAGGCAAATAATAGACTGTCTTAAAAGAGGTGTCATTTCACGTGTTTTCAAGAACAATGTTTAAAGTCTTTGAAAAGATATAATTGAACTTGACTCACTGCATTCACCCTTTGTCTGTGTTCACCTTTCACCTTAAAAATTTTGGTACTAAAATCTAAATAAAGAACATTATTTTACTTTGATTAGCACAATGACATTTATAATTCACACGAAACACTAAATATTCATAAAGAATTCTCGTTTCAAAACTTATTAAAATTCCATTCTGTAAATCAAACACACTTTGATTTTATTAATTATGTTTTTATGTATTCAAAACTACATTAGAGAATTGTAGATGGAATTTAGAAAGACGTTAGAACCTATAAAAAGTCTTATTAGTTTACTTCTTCGATAAACGATTAATAGATTTAACGAATAACATAAATTGTGATTTGACTCGTAATACTAGTACTTTATCAGCGGTTATATGATACGTTTGCAAACAAACAGTGTGATGTTTATAAATACTAATGTGATAACAATAATAAATTACTCATACATCCCACATGTCAGTGTTGCGGCCGGCCGACCTTTCTCGCTTCTTTACGACAAAACAAACGAATTGTTTACTAAACATGTCATTATCTCACGGGTATTTTGTCCGCCATTTCGTTTAGATCAGTTACAACTTTGTCTCATATGTGTCTCAAACAATTAGTGAAATATTATTTTGAATTAATTTACGAAGTTAGAAGAAATAGGATATCTAGTGGGGTTAGTAAATTAGTAATTGAGTACAGTTTGTAAAACTTGTTTGAACTTGTTGTATGGGCGGGGAAGGTCGAGTTGGCTTAGAGTCAGCTAGGGGATACGCAGGCTGGTGTGACTAACATTGACTTTGGCTGTAGCCTACAGAGACAGGTGAGCATAATGAGCATGAATCTATCCGCCAAACTGGATGACCTGCAACGAGGGGACCGTCAGTTGGAGACGACGGTGGCGCTCTGCGAGATCCGCACGCAGCTCCAGGAGTTGACCAAGAGCGTCGAGTCATGCCAGAGTGAGGTCTCCGAGGTGAGTCACTACTTTACTTTTTATTTCTTTTTCAGATCCTTGCATCTTAGAGTAAATTTGTATTTACATTTAGTTATGTTTAAAGTAACCGAAAAAAATGCGTACGTTTTAGTATGCGAGTTGACAATTTTGTGTCTATCGATAGTCAGTCGTTTTACTTTTAACGAACTGCCAGTACAGTAAAGTTTAAGATGTGTTTCTTTGTAATTAGCTTTCAAGTTTAAAACATCGTCATTATCCATAATGTTGTACAGGATTATATTTATCTCAAACTCTGTTCTAAAGTATGTTTACACATACAACGACGAACATAGACCTCGTATTATAAACAAGTTTACCAAAGGAATGTACCTAATGTATCAACGTAATCTCGGCGTGACGTCATTAGCGAAGTTTATACTACAAGCTTTCACAGAGTTTAATAAAATCCGTTGAAGGTTACATTAATTTCACAATATTCGAGTACAAAATTAACTACACTTAATAATTTTATCCAACAAAATATTTCAACAAAATATCATCACAAAGATAACAAAAATAGGACGACAAAATACCTCGTTACTACGTAAACAATTTAGTAACAATTACGTGCGATACAATACTAGAGCGTACGGCGTGGCGTCTGGCGTACGGCGACACCGAATGAGTAGACAGGGACCTTGAGAGTGAGACTGTGTGACGCGCGGCCGCGGCGTACCAGACAGCCTGACGGTACCAGACGACCGGGCAGACAGTAGGGTCATGTGTACGACAGGGAAGAGTCAACCGTTCAGGTGTGGGCCGCGATAAGCCTCTTTATGTCCAATTCAATACCTTTTGTTTATCGACTTAAATTTTGTATGAAAAGGTTTTTGTTTTCTATTTTCATGGAAACGTGATTATAGATAATGCTATGAAGAATTATTAACGCCATACCTTTTTGATTTATAAATTCCGAGCTAAAGAGTGAGCTTTTTCCACATGTCGGGCGCAACTACAAATCCGATCGTACTACAAAGAATTCTAAATATTATTTAATTTTATACTATGCCCGAACTGTAATAATAATAGAGCTCGAAAACCTTCGGGCCTTCCGACTATCAAATTTGCAACACACGTAAGCCGAGCATAGAAATTAGAGTGAACAGTACAGTCGAATGTATATTCAAAAGCATCATTCTATTTCCACTATACAATATAAACCCAATAACAACCTTATTCACAAGGCCTGTGAAGTCGTTTTTATTTGAACATTAATAATAATATCTGAATCTAATTTGAAGTACAAATTCAAAGCAAAGAGGTATGAAATGAGCAAATTATGTTGTACGCAAATCAGTGGGATTTAATGAAAGCACTACAATATACATAATTATTTGTTAATTAAAATGCATTGTACAATAAATGACAACCAATCACTTATCGTGTTTTGTAGTATTTCAATTGACATTCCTGACGGCCGATAAATTGTTTGAACGATTTCAATTTAGTTTGTTTGATTGTGTGATCAGTAATGATACCATTTATTACTCTTTGATATATTTGAGTAAAGAACCCTCACCGTAATTAGTTCATTTTAAAATGCAGTTTCATTGTTTTTTTTTTCATGTTGTAATTGCACGTTATTATAACATGAGTTTTTGTGTTTTGTGATGGTTTGAGGGTTTGAAATAGAAACACCGCGGTTTTAACCTCGATTGAAATCGTAAATAGTATGACGTATTTTCATTGATGAATAACATGATGTTATAAAAGGTCAGAGGTATTATCGTGTTTTCCAATTCTTAAATAGTTAGCAACGTGCGTCTCTCCCATTCCTTACTCAGTAAAAGACAAGATATGACATCGTGTGATATTGAATAGTTTATTACAAAATATATCTTAATGCCTTTGGTTTAGAATTTATTTCGCTCAACTATCTAATGGCGTATCTAAGTTACCTCGTTACCTGTTTTACTGCCGGGTTAGTGCAAAACACAATGTTGGGACCGGGGGAGGCCGCTGTGAACAAACGTTCGCTTTACAATAAAACCCTGAGAAACTATCTGCTGTAAAAACCGGATAGCCGTTCGTCGTCAACACGAGACCGAATCGATAATACGCAGACGTATTCTATCTATATGTTTCTATGCTTCATGCGAGATGCATTGTTAATGCGTGTTTGTTGTTTTGATAAGTTTGGGAAGAAACAGATTCTCAAGACTTTAGACAGATACATAATAAGTAAGTCCAAAAAACTTCTTCTTCATCTCAAGAGAATTTCCTTTATTCATAAAGAAACGGTAGATAATGCAACGTATCAATTAATAATCTTATCGAATACAAATGTGTTGTCTCCAAACTGTTAATGTCGTAACTCGTCATTTAAATCAGACAGACAATACCTATTTTTCTTAAATAAAAAACAGAAATATTGTTCGAAACTCTTTGTAATGGGTTGCCGAAAAGTGCATAATGGAAAAGCGAGCCTTGACACACATAGCCAAGGTTATATTCAAAACTATACAGCGACCCCAAAGCCGCCACTAAATGAAATTCCCGTCGCACGTTGCAGGTTACAATGTCACGACTGACCAAAGAGAATTTCAAATGAAGCTAAATTATAGTCTTTTGTACCGGTAATTCAGCCGTATTCTATAAAATGATATTCAGTTCCAAGGCTGCAATTATGGTTTTAATTAATTATACGGCAGGCAATCTAATTCATGTGACAATTAGCTGGTTTTCAATCTGCAATTTCTTGGTATTTCATCAATGATGCAGTACCTTATAATTATATACGAGGCTTTTCATTTGAATAGGTAACTCAATGATGCTTTGTTATCGATATTATTTCAATTTCATTGCGAAATGGTTAAGTATTATAGAAGCATAAAGTATTCGCTATTGGATCTCGCCTACAAAGACTATGCTTTAAAAAGTCAGCTTCAGTGATAAATAGACTTCGTAAAGCTTCGATATTTCTTAAGTTCTTGTACAAGTTGCATAAATCATAGTTCCCTTGCTACGCCTGCTACGCCGCACCGCGGGCCGTATTACGTAGCGCTACGATCAGCTACGAAGTGCTACGAACCATTGAATAATATTTCATGATAAAGTTTCCAGTTAGTAACCGGGCTAAAATGTAAATGTGGAAGTGGTATTGAGTTAACATAATTTTTTGCTTTATTTGAATATGTTATTATGAATATTGCTGAGAATACACGAAGAAGCTTCTAATAACTTATTTTTCTGAATTTCAAAGAAGCCAATTACCATATTGATGCTATGTATTAGGGTCCCAGAAAATATTATAAATAAGATTATCGTGAAATGGCATAACTAATATTTAGAGTAGGCACAAAACAGAAATGATGAGAGCGAATTAATTTTGATGCACGCAGACTGAAAGATGAAATTCGCGATACATTTCAACTGAATAAAACATAACTCTGGAAAATTCAACTCAGAATAGCAAAACCCTTATAATTTAAATACAAAGCGAATAAAGTTAAAAAGACTGAACTAATAAAAATATTGAGCAAATAATTTTCCACGAAAGAAACTTTCAGCTCGAAGCGGTATGATATAAAATCAAAGTTGGAGACGGTAAAAATCCAAACAGAACAGCCTTCGTAAGCGTCTTAAAAATTAAATACCGATTGGTCTCGACACTCCGTAAGCGCCTTACACAATCTGAACAATGTATGGTACAGTCTCTCTATAAATTCCATCGGTACCGGAAAAATACAAGCCAGAGATTTCCAGTAAATAAATGTGCCGTTTGTATTTGCTCGTTCGTTAATTAAAAGTGACTTTGGACTCAAAGCTTTGGTAATAGAGTCCACAGTCCCACAATGAGGTCACCGGTGGACTCGATAATTGTATCAACGTGCAGTGTTACGTAACAACTGTTAGAATTTGTTGTTTATTTTTAAAAGAGCCTTTGCATGTTCTTCATTGGAATCCACACAACGAAAGGGCAACTACGCTCACCTTTCTCACCCACTGACAGTTTAAACGTGCCTATAAATGGTGTAATTGAACCGAAGGCTTCGACTGGAGGAAATTCTTTCAATGTGGTCCGTAAATGTGTTTATCAATGCTTAACTGGAAAGTGGACGTTTTTATTGGTGTTAACATATATGTGTGTTTGTGGGTAAAATAAAATTATATTTGAATGATATAATTTTTTGAACACTTACTTTTTTTGTTAATATTAACATAAATGTAGGTTTTATTTGCGATTAGGTCACGCATCACACACCACATATGAAACATTGGTTCCTGTGAAAAAATATTTTTGAAACACTTTAATTTTTTTCAACATATAGCTCATATCCAGCAACATATATTTGGGAGCATGACAGAAATGCTGTCAGTGAATTTTAGTGGAAAATCAATTTTCAATTAATCTGCACCCAGTGTCGTAGTCGAACAATAGTGTGCCGTACATGCTTTGAACGGTCGACAGCCCGCTTCAGCCTTTGTCCATCCATGGTCCATAGCGTGATGGAAGCAAAACAATGGGCCAGAAAATGTCAAGCTGTGCTGTATGGGACCTGCCTGGCAATGGCTTCCGACAGCAGAATGGCAGGAAGATTGGGACTTTAGATGACGTAGTCTTTGAACGCAGACTCCACACTAATTGCATAGCCAATCCTATTGTGACGTCACCTTTGACGAAACTCAATTCTATAGCATCTCAATTTCAGCGACAGTGAAACCAAGCTAGGGGATAAAGACTGAGTTGTGAGGTGTTGTAATAATTCTCTATACATTTAAGTTTTATGTACACCAATGACCGTTTTAAAAAGTAATAAGTTGACATTTTACAAGAGACGAGATTTTAGCTCTCATAGGTACTTTTATAATACCTCTATATTATATTGCAATCAAAATTTCTTAATAACTAGTTTTAAGTAATTAGTGAAGCAAGGTAGCTCGTTCATTTAGTAAATTGCACATAAGTGCTCGTAGTTAAGTAGTCACATTGATAGCGGTTAGGTCAAGGGAAGTCGAGAGTCTGATGTTACCACATG